TTTTTTTTTCCGTGCGGAAGAGAATGTAAGTAATGCCGGTTAACCGCGGCCGCCGCGCGGGGAGAGAGAGAGAGAGCGCGAGCGAATATTTGGAAGTCAGGCTGAAAATATGTCCAGGCAGTGGGCAGATTAGATAGAAAGGAAGTAAAACCATTTTACGTTTGAAAGAATGCAGCTGCTAGGTAAGGATCGTGTGCTTGAATCTGTGATGTGAACGTGTTGGTTGGGGATGGGGGTTTGACTTGGGTTTCTGCTCTGGGAACTGTCTGGTGGAGCTTGCAGCCAGGGGAGATCTTTCCAGGTAAAAAAAAAACAAAAAAGACAATAAGAATCTATTTTTAGGTGTGAATATTATGTTCGGATATCAGTGTTTTGGAAAATGGAGTAGATGGCTGTATAAGAATGATGGTGTGATAAGATAAATCTGAGATAAATGTGTGCAGAAATGTAAAATCCTCTGGGTTTTTTGCCTCTGTTTGCAGTGAAAAAGACTGAATAGGCCACATTTTGCAGGGTGTGAACTGTTGCAGTCTGTATTGCTCTGTCTGTATTAACATTGGTTAAAATTTGAGTATCAATCACTGAAAATCAAGGATTGCTGTACTAGTTTTCTAGTACCCATTTTATTATCATTTTTCATGCCTATTGCATAAAATGCTGTCTGTTTCAAACAAAGAAGGGGGAGGGGGAAGCTTGGTTGTTTAAAAAAAAATAAAAAAAGGCATTCCTGTAAAAGAAATAGAGGTTATTTTTAAAGAACGATGTTAATGTAAAATAGTGAAGCAGAGGATTCCAGACAGGTGGATGTGCTGATAGGAGAAGCTGTGGAATCCATTATTTCCAGGTGACAAGTAGGAATGTAAGGTGAGCATCTTCATGCTGAAGCTGTGTAGCAGAGGGTAGATACGAATCTTTTTAGATAATGTCAGAGCAGAACTGTCATGATAGCCCATTAAATCAAATTCCTGGTTCAGCTGTTAGAATACATATTTTTAATTGTGGGCCGTGCTAGATATTGCAACAGACAACGTTTAGGGAATTTAAGGAATTTCTATTTCTTCTCCCATAGAAAGGCAGTAATACTGGCCACAGAGAGAATCGACAAGTGAATGATTTGGGGTTTTTTTTTGCCTGTATTTGAATACAGATGTTGAATTACTGATATCTTACATTTTACAGAGTGCTTCCTTTTACTAATCAAGGTCAAAAATAGCTCCTGTCCATCCTCTCCCAGATCATTCTTAGTGGACTTTTTGTTTTAGAACTGTAATCGGTTATATTATTAGAGATGGGAGTGAGATTATTAAAAATACTTTATTTCCCCCCTTTCCCATCTTTTGGTATGCACAGCAGCTTTGCTGTCAGGGCCTGTCCAGCTGCTGCCCAGCCGTGATAGGCCATCATTAAATAATCAAATGGACACAGACCTACTTAATATATAATCACAGGATAAAGTCAGTCAAAAAAGTCTAATTCTGGAATGGAAGGGATCCTATTTTTCTGAATTAGGATCTTTTATAATGATAATGGAGCAGTGAGATCTGTTGTAGCTGGTGACATTAGATTGTGCCATTTTTCCAGTAGCTGGCTTAAAAATCTTTAACTTTTTTTTGGCAGAAGCTGTCTTTCTGAGTGTTGCCTTTTATGACATCTTTAAGAGGTGGGAGAATTGGTACCACCAGGTTTCCAGGTTTTACATGGCTTTTGTAAGCTAAGGAGGGGGAACAAACATGGTGTTGGTTTGGTGCTCCTCCTCCTCACCCGTGGAGAGTGACTTGTGTGGTCCAGAGTTGACTGGGAAGGAGGACAATGTGGAAATTGCTTGTCATGGCCTCTAACAGGGATTGCATTACACAGAGCTACTCAGCATGTTCAAATGGCTGGAATTTTGGTGATAGAGTGGTACAACTCAGGATTATTTTCCATTAGCAATTAAGGTTTTAATAACACATTTCATCAAAAGTGTAAAAATCCAGAGGTATTACAGAAAAAAAATTCTTTATTGAATGAAAATTAAAAGAATCATTCAGTTAATTTGAATCCAGATGAAAATCTGGATATTGCTTTTGCTTCTTAACCAGTTTTCAACATGTCATAATAAGATGGTCAGGTATGTTTGGAAGGTACATTTGGCAGTCTATGCACTGCAGCTACAAAGAAAAAGAAGATCTTAACTCAAGTATCTCAACATAGAAACAAAAGCTTTTGGAACATTGACCATTACCTGATTTTTATTCAAAACAGGTTGTATCTACTACTGTATTTGCTTGTATTTAAGTTGTTCTGTCAGGGAAGAAGAAAGAAGAATCTAATCTAAACATAAGGTAGTGAAGTGGAAGATTCCAGACAGGTAAACGTGCTGGTAGGAGAAGCTGCGGAATTCACTGCGATCCATCACATTTGTTTCTCAAGCTTAAATATTCAAATGCCCTGTTTTACAAGGGAATGTGTAAACAGCATTTGGTTTTGACTCTGTCTCCCTTTGAGCCATTCTGATTCCATTAGAATGAAGATCTTAACATGTAGTTATTTCAAATATCTTTTCAATATGTGTTCTTAAAAGATACATTCACTTAAGACCAGAGTAAAGGCAAGGAATTTCTTCAGAAAAATATTCCAACTAGCTGGTCTCCATGGCTCACTGAGGGAAGAGTTGTAGCACCTCCAGGTGTTTGCTAGGAGGGAATTTCTTCAAGGCTTATTTCTGACAGTCACCTGGAGGATGTATGTGTAGCATGTTTAATGGGGTGCATTCATTTAACCTTTTTAAGGTTCGTGCCTCACAACAGCATCAAAAAAAATCAGTCACAGTTACTTTACATTGTTGAAAAGGGAAGATGCCAGAGGCATTTTCCAATGTTCCTATTCTGCAAATAAGCAAGGATTTCAGTTGTCATGATAAGTTGTTACTGTATATTTTATTAGCATTAAGTCCATAAAGGAAGGATGAGAAATCCATTATGTGTTTTAGGAGGCTTGAAATTCCTACAAATAATCAG